AATACTCATTTGAAAATATCTATGTACCCTATGTTTACTGCAGCACTATTTCCAATAGTCAAGCTGTGGAAGCAACGCGAGTGTCGATCAACAAATGAATGGATAAAGATGTGGTGTATATATAAATGCAATGGAATATTACTGAGGCACAAAAAAGAATGGGATCTTGCCATTTTTAACAACATGGATGGCTGTTATGTTAAGTAAGTCAGACGGGAAAAGACAAATGCTATTTGACTTCACGTATATGTGGAATCTAAAAAACAAAACAAGTGAACAAACAAAAACCAGAAACCAGCTCATAATCTAGAGAACAGACTGGTGGCTGGTGGCTGCCAGAGTGGGGAGGCAATGGGGGATGAGCAAAATGGGGGAAAGAGAGTGGGGGATCCAGGCTTCCAGTTGTGGGGTGAATAAATCACGGGGATGAAAGGCACAGCACAGGGAACATGGTGAGTGGTATAGTAGCAGCACTGTATGGTGACAGGTGGCCGCCAACACTTGAGCATCACATAACCTATAGGGTTGTCAGGTCACTGCTATATGCCTGAAACTGATACAATACCGTGTGCCAACTGTACTTAAAAAAAAGTACATTCACAACGTTGTGCAACTGTCATCATACAGGATTTTCATCATCTCAAACAGAAACTCTGCACCCATTAAATAAGAAGTCCTTATTCCCTTTCTCCAGTCTTTGCTCACCTCTTTCCTACCTTCTGTCTCTATGAATTGGCCTATTCTAGGTCCCTCATGCACCGGGAATTGTACCATATTTGTCCTTGTGGGTCTGGCTTGTTTTACGGACCATAATGATTTCAAGGTCCACCCACGTGGTATGGAATTCCGCATCATGTCAGAATTGCCCTCCTAAGGCTGAAGAATATTCCATTGTATGGACAGACCACACCTTGTTTATCCATTTATTAGTTGATGGGTATTTGTGTTGTTTCTGCGTTCTAGCTACTATGAATAACACTGCTAGGAACATTGGTGTATAAATACCCATTTTTAGTCTGTTTTCAATTCTTTTGAGTATAAGAGTGGAATTTCTGGATCATATGGTAGTTGTATTTTTAAGTTTTTGAGGGCCTGCCAAACTGTTTTCTGCAATGCTAACAGGTACTTTTTGGAAAAAAGGGGTTCCATGCTCAATAGACTTCATCTTCAAATCTTTTTTAAAAAAATATTTTATTTATTTATTCATGAGACACACACAGAAAGAGGCAGAGACACAGGCAGAGGCAGAAGCAGACTCCCTAAGGGGAACCCAATGCAGGACTCGATCCCAGGACCCCAGGATCATGACCTGAGCCAAAGGCAGATGCTCAACCACTGAGCCACTCAGGCATCCCACATCTCCAAACTTTCTTAAAGAGTCACAATGCACTTAACAGGGTAAAGGCTGTGACAAATCCTGAAGTAAAGAATCTAGGTGATTTAGATCCACCATTCTCCGACCTAATCAAGGCAGTGGAATGCTTCCTTTGAGAGTACCTGGTAACCATACCATCCTCTGCAGGTTTGGGAAACAGTTCTCTGAGCTCAGCAGGCTGACAGAGGAAGAGCTGGGGCTTGGGCCCAGTGCGGAATCACTCATAGCCCCGAGACAAGGTCCTCCCCAACTCTCCAGATAGCCTACCGGGGCACCTTGGCAAGTTAACTTCCTTCTCCTGAGGCTCTGCGCCTGCCCTGCTCTCTGACTGCTCCACCTTTCCTCTGCCTCTTTGCCTCTTGGAGATTAAGCTGACCTTCAGGACTAGCTCAGACACCTACCCCTTCTCTCAGGAAACTCTGGCCCTGCTCTCCGGTGTCCCCAAGTGGGATTAAAAGCCCCTCTCCTACTCAGCTCTTACGAAACTGTGTTGTCCAGTTAAATGACTGCCTCCTCCACTATATCAAGGGGCCAGCGTCACACTTAGTTTGCATAAACCATCATTGGAGAGCTTATTAAAAATCCAGATGCCTCCATCCTACCCTAAATATCACAATTCGGTAGCTCTGGGGTATGCATTTTTAACAAGCACCCCAGGCGATGTTCTTGGGCAGATGATTGTTGAAATGCCCCTGTTGTTAGCTCTGTGAGGGTAAGAGCCACTTCTGCCTCTGCCTCTTGTACATAGTAAATGCTGAATGAGCGAACAAATGAACAAAGGAAGGAGCGCGTGCATGCATGAATCAGTGAAACAGCTTGTTTCCTCTTCTGTAAAAGATGAGGTTGGAATAGATGTTCTGTAAGTTTTCTTTTCGTTAAACTTCTCTTTATAAAGTTAAGTTCAGATTATTTTGCCCAAGAAACATTAGCAGAACCGTACACAGCGCAGAAGCCCAAGCACATGGAGCCAACCCGGGAGATCTGCTGAAGAGGGATTAGTCCGCACTAATATTTAAGCAAACGACCGTGAGGAACTGTATTTTTGAAACTGTCGGTTTTTATTATGAGCTAGAGATAAAAGGAGTGGCAGAGACTTGTGCCCGTATGAATTTGGTCTCATTCTAAGAGCAAGTAGCCGACAGGCAGCAGAGTCATAGCTAAGAACCCTTACGTTTGAGGATTAGGGAGGGAGGCGTATAGGGAACCAGGGGCCAGAGCAGGTGCCTCCCTGCTGCTTGGAGGGGCCCTTAGCACTGGCAGGGCCCCCATGCAGGGAGAGTGCTCCCACCATCTCCTGACGGAGTCTTTGAACATAAAATCCCGACTCCCCTCTCCCTGGGGACCCTGCCGGTTTTGAGAGGCAGTTCCAGCTTCTCATAAGAGCTGCAGCCTGAGAAAAATGAAGTCTCCCGTTGCTTATAACCTCTCAGCATTTCAGACAGAAAGGTTGGCTATGACTGCCAAGGTCCAGCAAATATTTGGTTAGCTTGGAAAGAATGGGTGCTCACTTTCCAATTCACACAGACTTCTGTATGCCCAGTTCCTTTTATTAAAAACTTCAAATCCAGAGATAAAGTCGAATGGCACTCCAGGCTCTGAGCATTCATCTGTATCCCGGGGAGCAGGACCCAGAATCTAAACAAAGAGAAGCTTAATCAATAGAACTCATGAATCTCCTCTAGGAACGGGACCCAAGGTAGTGGAAGGATCAGCAGAGGGTCTTAATTGCAGTTTTCTCCACATGGATGTTTACAGAGATGCTGGAGGATGCACCTTCTGTCCACTTAGGGTCAGCAGAAAGTGGCCCACGGGACAAATCCTGCCCACTGCCTTCTGTCTCTGTTTCCTTACAGCCTGTGAGTTAAGAATGTTTTTCATTTTTTACATTTTTAAATAGTTGAAATAAATCAAGAGAAGAAAAATATTTCATGACATCTGAAAGTTGTGTGAAATTCAAACTTGTGCCCACAAATACAGTTTTATTAGAGTGGTGCCACACCCATTCATTTGTGTGTTGTCTGGCTGCTTTCGAGCCACAGGATTGAGTCCTTGAGACTGAGGCCATATGGCCCTCAAAGCCTACAACGTGGCCGGTCTGGCTGTTTGCAGAAAAAAGTGTGGATCCTCCTGGAGTGGGGGATGGAAGACCTGGCATTCATTGCTATTTGAACTAATGACTATAAAATATATATGCACAGTTAATTATAAAGAAGACACCTGTTCTTCTTTATAATTAGAAGTGGCTTTATAATTAGCGTGGCTCCAGGTCAACCAGGTGTGAGAATGTCCTGATCACCCTCTCTCCCTAACAAGTGGCTCACGAAATGAAACACTGCTGGTCAGAATCGCAGAAGTCGTCTGTGTGTCCTTTCATCCTGACCAGAGTTAATCAGCACCTGGACCCCTGTGATATCTTCCTTGTTGTTCTTTGTCCTTCTACTACCTAAGCTCTGTAAGTGAATTATGCTTGCTCTCGAATCGTATATAAATAGAAGAACCCCATTCGTTTGTTTCTGTCTCGCTTCTTTCTCTCAACATAGTTTGTGAGGCTCAGTTCTGAGTTTGTGCATGTGGCTGCAGGTCTGCAACTGCCTTTGCTGCCTGGCCTTTCACTCTATTACTTTAGCAAAATTCATCTCATCTTCGTGCTGTTGATGGACAGTGGGGACATTTCCAATTCAGGGTCATTGTGAATAGCACTGCTGTGAGCATCTTGCATCTGAGCTGTTGTTGACCTATGTAAGAGCCTCTCTCTAAGTGGAATTGGTGGATCGTGAATAATGTGTATCTTCAATTCTACCAGTTAATGCCAAACTCTTCCCCAAAGACCCTGGGCCAGATCACACTCCCACTAGCAGCATCCTTATTTAAGGAGCAGGGAAGCTCTCCAAGTCTTGTCAGTAGGCACCATTTTCATTTTCAAAACCTGAACCACAGGGGTCTGCTGCCTGCCCCTCCCCGGTTCCCTGAAGAGCTAGACAAGGTGCACGCAAGACATCATCTCTTTTGCTTTGTATCTGAAGTCTGGAAAATTGTTGCAAGAAAACAGTCAATTTTCCAAGAACGATCCTTGATTGGAATGGGGTCTCTTTTAGGTTCAAGTGCGTGGCTCCAGGTCAGCCAGGTGTAAGAATGTCCTGACCACCCTCTCTCCCTACCTAACTGCTCCAGCTCCCGTAATAGTAGCTGAGGAGGGAAGCTCATCACAGCCAATGGGTCAGGCAGCTTGCCAAAGCCTGCAGGGTGCACAGCTAACCACCCCTTTCTCCTTTGGGCAATCAGAGGACTTCAAAGGTTGAGGTATCAGCTCATGGGAAGCAGACACTTTTGTCTTTTTCTGCAGGGTTTTAGGAAAGCAGGCCAGAGAAGGTCCAATCCCCGATGGCCAGCATGCTGTAACTCCCTCACCTGAAGGACGGAGCACTTCGAGGCATTTCTGAAGCATGATGTAGCATTGCATTGAAAAGGCACAAATAAGCCCCAAACCCTAGCACACATTTATCCAGTTTGTGAAGCGGATTAATAGAATAACCAATAAAACATGTATAAAAGCTTTAATTAAATCTGATGAAATAAAACTTCATGTTTTATTTATGGACACTCCCAACATGTAAAGGATTCAGGGACACATTCATTTTTACTGCCATTTTGTCCTCATATCTATAATTAAATCCAGGCTGCAGCTCTGGCCCAAAGCAATGCGGCATTTTAAAGTCCGCCTTAGACTCGCCCTCCCCCACCCCCATCTGCTTTTAATTATAATTACCGTCCCCAATGGGGAGGAGGCTTATGGTAAAACAAAACAAAATAGTAAAACAAACAAACAAACAACCCCTCCAACCCCCAGTTGTTACCACTGTGCTTCAGGAGGCCCTGGCTGGCTGAAGGAGGATTTCAGGCAGGTCGGGGTTTTCTCCAGTTCCAGTTTTATTCTGTACCAAGTGCACAATCCCTTCATTTTACTTTTGACATAAAAAAAAGGACTTCATGAAACAAGACAAAATAACTTATGATTATACGAAACATAACTGTGACAAATCACAAAACTATACATATTAATAGAAAAAAAGTGTACCTAATTCTTTAAAAGATTTATGACAATAAGCACCAGATGTGCCCCTAAAGTAAAATCGGCCCCATATCCAGTATGACATACAGTTCATTTCTCTACGTGAGTGTATATAACTATGTACAAGAGTCCATGTGATTTATGGAAACCAGATTTCCACTCTTCCCCCCAAAGTGCTTTATGTCAGCAACATTACACAGGATGCTCTGCTGTCTGTACAAAATAAATCTCTTCTTTTTTACATTCGCCATTTCTCCAATGACTGGCTTTTTTTTTTCTTTATCCATTGCAAAAAAAAAAAAAAAAGAAAAGAAAAGGAAAATAAAAAGTAACTGCAGAAATCTCACACCACCAACAAAAAGTGCCATTACAAAATGCTGCTAGAAAACATCACGGTCAAACAGTCAAATAAAATACCAAATAATTAAATTGGACATTTACAGTTGCTATTCCCAATACTTCGAGGCGAATGGACAGTCAAGGCTCTTGGGCAGGGGAGCTGAACATTTACTTCTGCTCTAACTTCTAATGTGCCTGACAGCGGGTAATTTAAAAACAACAGACCACCACCAACACTCCGTTCTATCAGTGGGTCCGCTGAATGGCCTCTGTCCACTTTAGAATCCCCTATGCAATCTTGGGGAGATGGGAGTTGTAGAGGGAGACACTTCATGGGACTAGGACATATTTTAATATTTAACAGCTGATCAGATGCTAACTTATAACTGACATTTTGAGGCAGTCCCTTTAGGGAATTAGGACAATGCAGCCAATGAAATGTTTCTAGGCAGACTGATTTTTTTTTCAATGTAATAGGATAATTGGCTTTGAGCTGTGTGTATTTTCACAAGCACCAGCTTTTTTGTTTTGTTTTGTTTCAAAAGAGGGGAACGACAATCTCTGCTGTTTATGAAAGTGGTTGGTTACATATCGAGACTTTGAAAATGGCCAGGAAACGGAAAGGAATGAATTTTTGGAAGTTTCTACTTTCACTGCCACAAATGTAACGAGGAACACATCTGTGAATCTCGTGCAAGGTGAGAAAGAAAGCCAGGGACGAACCTGGAGGTCAGGTGAGGTTCTGGAATCTGAGAACAGCATGGGCAGTCTACAAGGAACTGGAACGTGTCATGCCCTGAGGGCCTAGGCTCAAACCTGGAGCCACCAGGATGCTCCACAGCCAAGAGGGGACACCGGAGCTTGCGGGCTGCACTAGCCGCTCCCTCAACTGCCACCAGTGCCCTTCAGGGGCTGGCCTCTGTTCCGGCTGCGCCCCAACGCCCCCAGAGCAGCAGTGAGGCAAGAGAGGGGCAGGGCCACCTCGAGGCCTGGGTTTGACCCGACACTGGCAGGCGCATCTCCTCCAGCCAAAGAGGAAGATGACATCCATAGTTTCTGAGGCCCAGCCTCTGCCTTTGTCCTCTTCCTCCCCCGCTGCCCACTTTCATTATATAAAGCCACATGGCAGGGCTGACATCACTGCAATAACAACCTTGCTTTTCGTCTTTTCCTTCCTCCTCACACAAATGAAGCCTGTTCTGAGGTTCCTACAAAGGCTCCAGTATTTAAGAATGGACACATTGTCTAAAGATAGCAGAGCTTACCTTCCTTTCCCAAGTGTGACCAAGGACACAGGAGGGATGGCAGAGTTAGCACGCATGTGTCCCAGTTTAGGCCCGGGGACATGACCCACAAAGCCGGCAAGGAGGGTGGCATCTGACTTGCAGTCTGAGGGCTCATCCGGCAGGGAGGCCTGAGGAGCCTTCTTTCGTAAAACAAAGTGGACTTCTGTAAAGTTAGTAACTTAGCTCTCTGGCAGCCCTGGATGTCTGCACGGTGGTTGTCCTCAGCTCAGAGCTCACGCGTCAGAGAAACCGGCCTGGCCTCAAGCACTGTAAAAGCAGGCCCCACACGTGGCTCTTTGGTCTTCCCACTCTAGGGCACATTGGGATCAAGTCCCCATCGAGCTGCTAGCGAGCAACCGTGCAGCCTGACTGCTAGGACTGGTCTGTCGGGGTACAAACTGGCCCCGGATCCCAAGTCTGACACCCTGCTGGGTAAAGCCTGTTGGAGACCATAATGATCTCGGCTGGACAAGTAGCACTGTTTCACTTTACAAGAGAAAGGAAACTGTGACATGGGACCGTTCTGGAAAGTCAGAGTTTACACGTGTCTTTGGGGTTTGGCTACTTTTTAGGGCCTATGCATGGGTTTGAGATCTTTTTAATAAGCTTTGTAAATGCATCACAGAAAATGGCTTCCTATTCAGGGTTGCTAACAAACGACCAAGAGCGCTGTAAGAATCCCAGGCCCTCAAATGAGAGTTTCAGGAAAAGTTAACTTCTGCCTACCTTCCCTGGACTTCCCCTCTACCTGCCTCTGGGCAGAGCTTGCTCAGAGTGCCCGTCAGGTGGGCAAGGGCAGGTGGGTGTGTGTGAACGCAGACAAGAAGCAGGGGAGCATAATGAGAAGGAGGGAGAGGAGGGCATGGGGAAGGGACAGACGGATGGGTGAGTAGATATCCCAAAGGAGGTAAGCGGAAGCTGTGCAAAATAACTGGACATGGGGCACCTCTAGTTTGTTTTTCTGAGACAACCAGGATCTCAGCTCCGTGGGTCCCTGTTCTCACACCAGCATGACCCTGGGCACAGCACCCACGTGGAGGCCATGGGTCAACCAGTCCAGCGATCTTTGCAGTTGTCCAAGGTCTATGAGGTGGAGTCACGGAATAGTCAACCCTCCTGGGTTTCTGCTACAGCACTGGCAAGGGGCTGGGCCCACCCCATATCCCGCAGGTGGCTTTTACTAGATGTGAAACTACCCTTGTAGGGGTGGCTCACTGACGCTGTGAGGTGGGGCCCAGCACAGCTATAGCTGGGGCAGAAGGGATATAACGGGGGTGATTAAAATAATTATTTCCATCCAAAACACAGACCTCTAAATATTTTTTTTCCTTTAAAAGTAGATGTAAATAACAAGTCTTTAAAATAAAAGAACTAAGATATGTTGCTGGGATATAAAACAAGTTGTAGTGCCTTTCAAGGGACTGTGCTTGACAGAACCTTCTGATCCTGCTTTTGGAGAAATACTGAAAAGCAATCGGTTAGCATGGGGATAGTAAGAGGAGAGAGGCAGCCGGCTCACTGGGGTGCCAGGCCGGGGTCGGTGCCAGGAACCCCCGGCTTCTCCAAGCCCACTCTGCACTTTGGGAGTAGGTTTCCCTGGTTGCCTGGTTTCACATGAGCCAGCGGGGAGGATGAGCAGCGGTGAGGCATTGCCCTGTGCTTCTGGCAATCTGGGTGGTCCTTCCCTGTTTGGAGTTTTGTGCAAGGGTGATCCCCAAACTGTGTTTTCAGATGCGCATCATTTCACTGGTGTCCTTTGAGGAAGAAGTGACAGCTGGAAGTAACAGGTATCTGGCAGAGTGACTCTTAAATTCCCTTTGAAAAGACAGTCAGTCCTGCTAGTCACCAGGAAACCCAGAGAGAAAGAGGAGCAACTGCAAATATTCCTGCAGAGCCCAGCTCTGACCAGTCCCACCTTCCAAAGACACATTGGTGACCTTGTGGGTTCCAGTGAAGAGGCTGACATCTTTTCCGTAGTCTATGAGAATATGAAAAAAAAAGATGGCAAGCAATGAAAAGGTTCTGGAGGCCAGTGGGAGTGGAGGTCCTGGGAGCCTTTAGCCTTCGGTATAGACAGAGGAGAGCTGGCTAGGACAGCGGTCCATGGCGCTGATCTGCAAGAACGTGGCATCCTCAGGCCCACCGCGAAGAGACTCCCCGAAGAGGCTCGAGGACCCTGAAGGTAAATCACACACTGGAAGAGAAAGAACATGAGGTTAACGCTCCTGCCTGGCCACATCCATGGTGCGTGCACTCAGCAAACACTGAGTGGGGTCATGGGCTAGGCCCTTAGGTAGCCTCTGTCCTCAGGGACCTTAATGGGGGGAGGAGGTGAACTTGCAGGCAGATGGCTAAAATAAGTCTTGGCACATAATACATGCTGAGTAGAAGTAAAAGCAAAGTGCTCTGGGTAAGGCCAAGGATGGCCTCAAAAAGGAGATGATATTAAAGTTGAGTCATAAAGATGAGATTCTCAGATGGAGAGGTAAGGAAAGAACATTCTAGGAGGAGGAAACAGAGCGCAAAGACAGAGAGGGAAAGGCTGTGGGGCCAAGTGCTCTGGCCAAGTTCAGGTGGAACACATGTAGGGAGATGTGTGTAAGGGAGAGAGTCTGGTCAGTCTGATCAGGCCTACCTCCTGGGAGCTTTGGATGCCTTGTTGGGAGTAGACTTCATTCTTTAGGCAACTGGAGACTAGAATACAGAGTATCCAAGGAAGAAAGGGGTTTATTTAAGCCTTCATTTTTGGAAGGCAATGTTTGTGGCGGTATGGAAGGCAGAATTTTAAAGACAGATTCAACTCAGGGAACTTGCTGGAAGGCTGTGGCTGTTGCCATAGTCTGGGAGAGATACTAAGGCCCCTGAGCCAGGGTGGTGGGAGTGGGGCTGGAGAGAAGCATGAGGAGGAGAGCCATTTCAGGGGTAGATTCAACAAGATTGGATGTGGCCATGGGCGGGCTCATGCCTAGTCCAGGCCGGGCACAGGAAACCCACCTGGTCTCACCTGCTAGTGTGCAGGAGTTTCTAAGTCACAGACAACAACATACCTGCAATGCCCGAGTGGGCTGAGAAGGCTCTGTGGAACACATCAAAGCCAGCCTGACCCATGGGTGTGGGGGCCAGGCAGTCCTCGAAGGAAGGTACAGCGCCACAGGAGCTGCTGGGCAGCACGGTTCTCTGGGAGTCGGGGTACTGCGGGGGGCAGAAGGTCTGCAGCTGCCCATAAAATCCTGAAATGCAAGCAAGGCAGTGAGCTCTTGCAGAGCCCAACTCCCACATAGCAATATCACCCCGACACAGCCAGACCCGCGCTTAGCCTGGCTGCAAACAACAAAATGCCTTTAACTCTGAAGCCCCCCTGTAAAATCTGAGTGAGCATCTGAAATGCACTACTGGAGCAGAAGCTCTTGTACCTTCAGGGGCTGTCAGAGCTTGTTGGCTCATGACATTTTTATCTCCCGTTCCAGTACAGGAAGCTGAAGGGCTTCTTACCTTCCCTCGATGCTCTGAAGTCCTGGAGACTGCAGGCCTGACCTTTGGCGAACATGCCTACCCCATCCCTCTCACCGGGTTCTGAGTATATCTTCACTTCCTTTATCTTAAATTCTACCCTGCTTTTTTACATTTGGTAAAACCTGAAGCATGCTCTTATCAAGGCCCACTTAAAAAAAAAAAAGCAACATAGATCTATCCAACCATCTGTCCTTCTAACAGGTAAGTTCATACACATTTATATCATCATTTTAAATAGGCACATGAAGTATCCCACAGGATGGGATGTGCTGTATCATCACTGCTGATTTTTGCCGTAAATGGGACAATTAGAAGTGAAGATATCCTGTAATGAATATGAGGAAAGATCACTTAATATTTGAAGATAATCATCAACATTCTGCTGATCTTGTTTCATTGATCTCTTTCAATGCTTTTTTCTTGTGTAACAGAGGTTTCTAGGGAGTGTCTGTGGTCCTGCTCCATGATCCTCCACACCTCCCAAGATACCTTACCTTTTCCTTCTTCCTCCTGGCCTCATGATACATCTAAGTCAACGGATTGTTTGCCTGCAGTATAATAGGCTTTTAAAAACCTAATAATGAAATCTTCACTTGATACTTTATTGAAGGGAGAGCTGCTGTTCACTGTGTCTGTTTGCTCAACTGCAAAATGTGACTGTCGGTTTCACTGGCTATTGTGAAGATGAAGGGGTAAGAAAGACCATATGTAACATTTTAAGGTGCTTTATAAACCTCGGTTATTATTGCTATCACTACTCTAGTAGGAAAAAACACAAGGGATTAATAGAGAACATGCCTCAGGGTTCCTATTAGATGATGGAGAACACAGGGCTAATCCACGGGCCCTAGTCCTGTATGGCTTCTTCCACTAGAACTGCTCCGTTTCTTAATGATCAACAGGTAAGGGAGGTGTTATTCAGGTTCTTTTTGACTCTCTTCAAGTACAACCAGGGCACACCGGCACATCCAGCCGACTATGCTCGTGACCCTTCTCATTTCTGGTTAGTATTCTCAAGGTAGCCAGTGTAAATGCTCACACCACCCTTGGCCAGGAGGCCCGTTCTGTGATTTCTGGCAACATCACCAAGAACATGTGCAGAACTTCTAAAAACTCCTAAAAACTTCTAAAAACATGTGCTCCTAAAAACACAGTCTGGCCCTCTAGGAGCTTGTGACCCAAGAAAGAAGGACCAATGCAGATTTATGCATCAGGAACACTCACAGAAAATGAAATAATATCATTTAAAGGTAGATAGTAGTATACTTTATATAGAATTTTGGGGAAAATGCCCATAAGGTTTGTGGGGAGGGATTAAAAGCACGTATAGCAGTACAGACTAGGAAAATACCCGGGGAGATACCACATCAAGGCAGGAGAACAAAGAATGGGAAACCATTAACCCTTCTTTGTTTGATCTCTAAAGGCTTCTGTGTATGATCTTGGTAGACAGATGGGCAAAGGACCCAACCAAACCACCTGGAGACTCAGATAACTGATCAACCAATATGGACAAACTCAGTCCTCTAGCCAACAAAGAAATAGAATCATGACTATAATAAAATATCATATTCTACCCATCACATTAGCAAAGATTTCTAGAAACCATTCTCTGTGCTGGTGTGAGAATGACAAAGTTGTTTCTGTCCAGTGTTGTAGACTCTGTGAGAGTGCAAACTTCTTGGAAAACCATTGGACTATCTGTATCTAGAACCCTAAAAGTGTCCATATTCATACACCAGGACTTGGGGATTTTACTTCTAAGGAGGTATTCTAAGTCTATTCCAAAGAACAGAAGCAATTCTGCATAGAGGTAGTGATTACAGGGCTAGCTATTAGAACAGAAACCCCAACGGCCCAACCGGCAACTATAAGGGAATGATTAAGCAAAGAGGGGTACATTTACATGATGAAAATATTAAGTAGGCATTAAAACGATATTTACAAGGAGTTTTAACAACATGGAAAGACCATTATATAAGGTTCAGAAGGAAACAAAAGCAAGATACAAAACTGAATATGGAGACTGGGCACACTCATGCATAGCATGCATAGTCCATGCATAGCATAGATGGCAAGGCATCATTTCTTCTTCTTCTTCTTATTTTTTTTTAAGAGAGAGAGAAAGAGAGGAAGAGAGAGCACATGAGTGGTGGGGAGGGACAGGAGGGAGAGGCTCTGCAGTGAGCACAGAGTCTGTGCGGGGCTCAGTCTCAGGACCCTGAGATCATGAGCTGGGCTGAGATCAAGACTTGGATGCTTAACCGACTGAGCCACCCAGGTGCCCTGGCAAGGCAACCTTTGCCTTTTGGGCTGGCATTTTTGGCTTTATATTTTTCTGAATTTTAATAGTGGGGAAGAGCAAGTATGCTGGAGCCAGACTTCCTGGATTCAAGACCTAGCTTAACCACTCATCCACTGTGTAATCTTAGTGAATTACTAGCCTCCCAGAGTCTGTTTTCTAAACTTAAAATGAGGTTAAAAGTAGTACCTACACCTCACTTAGTTATTATAAAGATTAAATGAGTTAATATTTACATATTACAGAATATAATTTGATAATACAATTATATAATTAATACTTGTATATTTTATTTTATATAGGTGTTTGTTAAATAAGTAAAATTAAAAGTGAAATGATTTTATAACCACCCAATCCTCAAAAAATTAAAACAAAACCCTAGTTATTAAGAGAAATAAAATTTTCAAAAGGGTAACAAGTAAGTCTTTCAATAATAATCAAATATAAGAATGGATACAGCAGCAGGCATATGGATGGAGCACATCTGCTCCCCAGGCAAAGTCCTCTGGAACATTCATGTCCCCGTGGGGACCTGAGCTGTATACATCTTGCCCATATTGGTCCTTAGATCCTCCACTAATCGACACATATCTTGATTTCTTCACTTAGTCCAGTGCAGGCTCAAAACAGCAACAAGTTTGAGGGGTTTGAAGGAAGTTTGAGGGATGAGCAGCTTGTGGTTTGGGAGGTTCCCTGGACTGATCTTGACTTTGGATACCTGGTGACCAGGTACATATATCAGGAGGGAAACATGATCCTGAACCACCATGGGTGGGTTTTTTAGGATGTAATGTCTCCTCACGGAGGAGAACAGACCATAGTTGCTATTTATATCACTCTGCTGGCTCTGCTCAAATCGGTCACCTGTAAATTCCCTGATAGCATTCCTCAGGAAACGGTTTCCCTTCCAAGAGCAGAAGACATTTCTTGCTAAACTCTTGCAACTCCCCGAATAGGGATGTTAAACACGCAGGTAGGTCAGGTTCACGGATAGAGACCTCTGGCCTTTATGAAAACCGATTCTCTCTCTTCCATATCTTCTCTCATGCTTCTAAGAGAGCAGAATTGTTACACGGCTTCCCCCTACAACTGAGTGTTGCAACATGTGAGTTTAAAAGGGCCTGTGATGCAGTGAAACACACCCAGTGACATGAACTTTTAAATCCAGCATACTGGGTTACAGCCCCCAGATCCCCCGCCCCCTGCCCCCGGCCACCTGGGTTACAGTGAGAAGGCACAGTGGACTCTAATTCATGCCTGTGGGTGTCTTGGCTGACACGACGAACAGCTGAAACCAGAATGGTCCCACAAGCATGTCTGATGGCTCTCACAGCCAACTTGGGGAAAGAAAATCCTCTTTATGAAATCCCTCACTCCAAGAAGCCAGTCACCAGAGATGCCAAGTACACTGGCGTGGATGGCTGTGGTCAGGCAAATCAAAGAGCCTTACCATGCCCTCTTCCTGGTGCTAGTTCCATAAAACTAACGAAGGGTTTAAGAAATCCATTAGGGTCTCGCCACACACACAAGCCCTGAGGAAGCCTAACTCGTCTTCTGATGAGCGGCTCCTATATTCCAGCTGTGGGATTTCATGCAGTGAATGTGGATAGAGCACAGTACCCCTCAGACCAAAAGCAAAGTAAGGCAAGATGTTAACACATTTCATGGGCATAAAACATAAGCTTGAGGGCAAGGTCGGCTAATGTGTCAGTCAGATAGTCACTGATGGTCATCAGGTGCTGTGGGAGAAACCAAGGAAACAGAAGATCATGCCTTGTCCTTGAGGATTGCTAATGCTGTTGGAGCGAGAGCACACACAGTTATAACAGCGTAAGAACATACACATTCATGTTAGCAATAAATGTTGGCTGTCACCTTCAATTATAAAATCACCCCTACTCCATGTAACACGTTACTTTGCCGCCAAAAATGGCAGAGGCAGAATCTCCAGATAAGCTTGATCTACCCACATTGCAGTTCCTGAAGTTCAAGGAGAATCATTCCTCTTCTTGTCAATTTTGAGAAGTTTTTTCCCTTCTAAAAATACACCTGTTTTCCTAATTATAAAACATATGTATATATATTTGGAATTAATTGTACCAACCAGAACATGTAGAAGAGTATAAACAAAGAAAGGAGAAAGTTTTATTTCTACATTTAGATATGGCCAGATGTATTACACAAAACTGTAATGTTTGTTATATACATTGCTTTATCTTCTGTTTTCCCCTGTAATATTCTCTATGTGCTTCACACATTCCCTAAACATCATTCCTAAAAACACCTTCCCCTTCACTTTGTCACATGGGGTCTATGTTCGATCAGGAGTCCAGGTCACTCCTGCTGCTAATGATGACAAAGCAGACCCATGAAGCTGGGTGTGGGTTTTCCTCCCAAAGTGGAAGGGGAGTGGGG